AGCAGGTCGAAGCTGTGGTGACCATGAGCATGCCACTGCACTCTAGCCTGGGCAACCGAGTGAGACTCCAACTCAGAAAAATACAAAATAAAAAACAAAGTAAGCTAGAAAAAAGAAAATGGTAATAAAGTCACATGGAAGAGAAAAATACATTTATAAGAATATACTGCTATTTATCGATACAAGTTTACATCATCTGTTTACAAGATAAATCTTGTGTCTGAAATGGCTGGCAACCGCAGACTTCATTCTATGGTACATACCAAGCATTTCAGCTTTTCCTTGTAATATCATGACTTTTCTTTACTTGTTGAGAGCATGTCCAGCATCACTAGTGGCTCTTTGTTTTTGTTTGTTTGTTTTTGAACTGGAGTCTCACTGTCACCCAGCCTGGAGTGCAACAGCATGCTCACTGCCACCACAGCCTTGACTCACTGTGCTCAGGCGATCCTTCCACCTTAGCCTTCCAAGTGACTGGAACTACAGGCACATGCCACCATGCCTGGCTAATTTTTTGATTTATTGTAGAGATGAGGTCTCACCAAGTTGCCCAGGCTGGTCTCGAACCATGGTGCCTTACTAGTGACTCTTTGTGTTGGTCCCACATTGTAATTCAGAGTTATATTATTGCACTAAACAATGAAAAATACTGTAGACCTTGAGATCACTTTTTTTTTTTGAGTTGGAGTCTCACTCTGTCGTCCAGGCTGGAGTGCAGTGGCACGCTTATGGCCACCACAGCCTCTACCTACTGGGTTCAGGCAATCCTTCCACCTCAGCCTTCCAAGTAGCCAGAACCACAGGCACACACTACCATGATCGGCTAATTTTTTTATTTATTGCACAGATGAGGTCTTGCCAAGTTGCCCGGGCTGGTCTTGAACCCATGAACTCAGGCAGTCCTTTCACCTCAGCCCCCAAAGTTCTGGGATTTAGTACCACACCAAGCGAGAGATCACTTTTTACCGCGATAAGCAATTTACTGGAGATAGAACCTACTCATATGAAGATGATTAGTATCACATGATATATTAGGCAGACACTTGAGCTCACCACAAGAGCAACAGGAGGTATCTATGAAATTATTACAGTGCATTGTACATACTGCAGTTAGTTTTATGTAGTTATGATTTAGTACTGCATCTTCGCCTTTGTTTATATTTCTCTTAACTGCAAATGGTACCCCATATGGTCTGTGTTTATATACCTAAGTTTTGATAAATGTTAACTTTTTATAATAGATTTATGTCTATTTTATGGTGGCAAATGATAAAACAGACTAATATCTACATGACGTTTATACATTCATGACATACTTTTTTCTTAAGTTTTAAAAAATATTTCTAGGCTATATGTTTTGTCTATAAGATTTTTCAAGTTCTTACAAATTTCTAAAAAATGTTCCAGTATATTAATTGAAAAAAAATCCATGGATAAGTCAACCTGTGAAGTTCAAACCTGTGTTGTTCAAGGTCAATTATAATTGCTTGAATAAAAGACAACAGTTATTTCATTATGTTTAAGTAGCATTTTGGGGAATGATTCTAAAAATGTTTTGAGTAATTCTGGCGGTATTGATAAAAATATACTTATTCCAACCCCCAAGAATTGTATGTAAGAAAAGCATCATGTAGTTGTATGGCTTTAAAAAGTCATTTACAACATACTGGAGAAAAAAATTTTCGACAAAGCAGAATCAATGGCCATAGTTTATAAAAAGTTCATGAAAATCAGTAAGGAACACTTAGTCTCTACAAAAATGGGCTATGAACTTGAGTAGATAACTGACAAAATTTAAATAGCTTTTGAATATGAAAAAATGTACACATTCACTGGTTAACAGTAAATAGACATTTAAAGCAACAGTACCATTTATTTTAAATCGAATGTACAAAGATTTAAATAAAGATCATTTGACAGAGATTAATACTCAGCTTCTGCTACTCATGTATTATGTAAAGTGGATAACCTTTTTGCCCTTTGGTGCAGCAATTCTACTTTTATGACTCTCTTCTTAGGAAGTATTAATTATTTGATAAAGATTCAATAAGGAAATGACTTAGTTAAAAACAAATATATCTATGTGATGGATTATCATATAACTGGTAAAATCATCTTTATGAAGAATTAGTAATAAAAAGGGAAATAAGTATAAATGAAAAGAGTACAATAGATATACACAGAGTTATTCTATTTTAAATTATGTAGACACATTTCTAGAAGGAAATACATGCAATTTTTAACATTGGTTAACTTCTGGGTAATAGTGTTTTGAGTGATTTTGTATTTTATAATAATATGTTTTAAAAAGTTTTATGAAAGTGACAATGTAACCTCATGGTTAAAAGCCAAGATGAATTATGTGTTAATAAATGAATTTGGAGTTGGGAGAAGAGTATAATCAGTGAGAGTATGGTATTGGAGAAACCTCTGTGGAGATTGTGGGGCTTAAACCCTAGGCCCTGTCAAACTTATGTTTATGATAATTAGGGTACTGTGGGAATGTATTTTATGCAGTAGAAAGTATTGAGACCAAAAGAATAGGATTGAAAATGCAGCAGTGTAGGAGGGACGCAAAATTGATGCCTGATTAGAGTATCCATAAGGTTGATAGGGACAGCTGATGGTAACCTTTGAAAGTCTAGCATGGGGCAGGCTCTTTTGGTTCCCTCCCACTGTGGGAGCTTTTCTGTCCTCTCAAATCCTGCTTTCTCCCTTAAAAAAAATAAAAAATAAAATAAACAAAGAAAGTCTAGCATGCATGGTGTTGCATATCTGTAATGTGATTCATACTTCTGTTTTTGGGAGAGGTAGCATGGTATAAACTAAAGCATGGGCTTTGGCTTCAGACTAGGCTAAAATCTGACTTTATTGCTCATTGGGCAAGCTACTTATATTCTGTGTGCCCATTCGTCACATCCATAAAACTGGATTAGAATAAGACCTCCTTCGTAGGGTTGTTGTGAGGATCAAGTTGAATGATACAAATAAAGTTTTTGGTGTGGGACCTGTCATTTGGTAAGTAATCAATAGATATTTGTACTATCATTGCTAGAAAGAGAACAGTTTGGATATAGGGAGAATAGGTTTGAACTTATTATGGAAATTCAAAATAAGGGTGAGAACTCGCACATCTATCTAACTATAAACCACAAATGTTTCATCTTCCTGAGTATTTTTCTTAACCACTATATTTACCTTTTCTTTCCCTATCTTTTTTTTTTTTTTTTGAGTTGGGAGTCTCACTCTGTCACCCAGAATGGAGTACAGTGGCACACTCCCGGTCACCGCAGCCTCAACCTGCTGGGCTCCAGCGATCCTTCCGCCTCAGCCTTCCAAGTAGCTGGAACTACAGGCGCTCGCTACCATGCCTGGCTAATTTTTTGATTTATTGTAGAGATGAGTTCTCGCCAAGTTGCCCAGGCGGGTCTCGAACCTGCAGGCTCAGGTAATCCACTCATCTCAGCCTCCCAAAGCACGGAATTACAGATTGAGCCCGGCTTCTTTCCCTGTTTTATAAAACTCTATTTGAAAACCATCCTACCTGCATTCCTTGTAGCTGTTACTATCTGTGTACCTACTTTAGTTCTAAATACAGCAGCTTTCTTGATTGCAAATAGGAAATATTCTCTTTCTCATTTATTTTAGAGTGTGAACCTAGAGGTGATGTTCTTATGGAGGAAGCAACTTTAGATAAAATAATAGAAAGATGCCTCAGGGATGATGATTATGGCTTGTTGGAAGAATTCCGGAAATATTATGGCAGATCAGAGGAGGATCACCGCAATCAGAGATATTCAAAAGGAAAAGTCACACAAAAGAAAACCCGTGGGAAAGGCAGGAAGGGTGAGAAATTTGATCCAGAAAAGAGTCCCTTTGGAAGTAATTTAAAAGAAACATCAGACATAATTAAATATCTGAGAGTCTACTTAAAGAAGAAATCTCGGAGGCATAATGAAAGCAAGAAACCCTTCAGTTTTCATTCAGACCTTATCGTGAACCGCAAAGACAAAACCCCTGGAGAAAAGTCACGTAAATGTAACGAAGGTGGAAAAGTCTTAAGTCACTCTTCCTCTCTTACTGAACATCAGAAGCGCCAGAAGATTCTTTTAGCGAATAAGACCCAGAAGTGCAGTAAGTGCGGGATAACCTTTATTCAAAGATCATCCATTTCTAGGAGGAAAATCCCTACATGTGAGAAATGTTGGAAAGAATCACGTCAGGCGGCAGCCTTACGTAAAAATGAGGGAACTGAGACTGGAGAAAAGACTCATAAATGTAGTAAATGTGGAAAAGCCTTTGGCTACAGTGCCTCACTCACCAAACATCGGCGAATTCACACTGGAGAGAAACCATATATGTGTAATGAATGTGGAAAAGCTTTCAGTGACAGTTCATCACTCACGCCACATCATAGAACTCATAGTGGAGAGAAACCCTTCAAATGTGATGATTGTGGAAAAGATTTCACCCTGAGTGCTCATCTCATTAAACATCAGAGAATTCACACGGGAGAAAAACCTTATAAATGTAACGACTGCGGGAGACCATTTAGTGACAGTTCATCTCTTATTCAACATCAGCGAATTCATACTGGAGAAAAACCCTATACATGTAACGATTGTGGAAAATCCTTCAGTCATAGCTCATCCCTTTCTAAACATCAAAGAATTCATACTGGAGAGAAACCTTATAAATGTGGTGAGTGTGGAAAAGCCTTTAGACAGAATTCTTGCCTTACCCGCCATCAGAGAATTCACACTGGAGAAAAACCGTATTTGTGTAATGATTGTGGGATGACTTTCAGCCATTTTACATCTGTCATTTATCATCAGAGACTTCATTCGGGAGAAAAGCCCTACAAATGTAACCAGTGTGAGAAAGCCTTTCCTACTCATTCGCTCCTTAGTCGTCATCAGAGAATTCATACTGGTGTGAAGCCTTATAAGTGTAAAGAATGTGGTAAATCCTTTAGTCAGAGTTCATCTCTTAACGAACATCACCGGATTCATACTGGAGAGAAACCCTATGAATGTAACTATTGTGGAGCCACATTTAGCCGAAGCTCAATCCTTGTAGAACACCTAAAAATTCACACCGGAAGGAGGGAATATGAATGTAATGAATGTGACAAAATATTTAAAAGTAATTCAGGTCTCATCAGACATCGGGGATTTCACTCTGCAGAGTAATTCTGGGAATATTGTATGGTGGGGGGGGAATTTAGTTTAAACGGTCAGTTACTGATGTCCTGAAATATACACTACTTTTAATGTTGGTCAGTAGCTGCAACTTTGATAAGTTGGCAGCTAGGAAAAATATTCTTTTTCCCATTCCCCATTCTTTTCAAGGTTATCAGCTGCTGGTAAATAGTAATTAGTTGGTAAAGTCATGTGGAACGTGAAGAAAGTAGTAGGAGATATAAAATGATTCCAAAAGGCCAAGCTCAAAATTGAAAAGCTACTTTCTTCAGAGGATTTCCCTCTCTTCTGCCTTCCCTACATAGTATGATGGAAAGAACTTGACTGCAGTCAGATAACCTAGATTCTGTCCCAGTTGACCAACCAACTTGGTATATAGCCATGGACAAGTCATTTGACCTTTTTGAATTTTAGTTTCTTCACCAGGAGAATGAAGGGCTGGGACTGATGATTTCTAAGTTCTTTGTTTTTGCTTTTGGTATCCCCGATAATCTTTGAAGCTGTGAAAATAAGTTATTTTTGATTTATTGAAACTTTCAAGTTTCTCTAGTGGAAAATATTCTCAGGCTGCTGGCCTCTTTTTATTATTGTTATTTTTTAGATTGAGTCTATGTTACCCAGGTTGGTCTCTATTTCCTGGCCTGTGTGTATGTTGCCCAGGTTGGTCTCTAATTCCTGGCCTGTGTGATCATGATATCAACCTCCCAAGTAGCTGGGATTACAGGTATGTACCACCATACCTGGCTCTCAGGATCCTGGACTTGGAGCCTAGAGAGAACACAGTATACATTTTGAATGATTATGTAGGAATCCGTAGAATGCTGTAAACAGGAACAGGTCAGTGAAGCTCAAATGACTTTGCCTTCAGGGAATATTTTAATTGGACGAGGGACCCCAACCTCTTTTTCTTTTGGGCAATGGCCTAAAAGACTGGGAGTCCAGAGAGCTTGCACCTGAACCATCTCAGTCCTAGGAAATAGATGGGGGCTGGAGGAAAGGAAGTGCCCTGAAAACAGCTGTTCTGGATGAATTTTCTTTTGCAAAATAGAATTCTACTTTTTAAAAAATTTTGACCATAGTAAGTACATCTTTCTGCAATTGGAGTGTAAGTATTTTATATGGCAAAGGTTATAAGCTGTTAGATTGGGTCATATTGGGCTCTTAGGCATGTTTTAGTTGGTGTGCGTGGTGGGGCGTGAGAGAGAATTTTGTTGACATTATTTAAAAATTAGAACGTTTCATATTAAAATAGGATATATCTTTAAAATTATAAGGGCTAGCCACACTGAGCCTATCTTTCTGTGGAGCACTCAGCTGGTCCTGGGTAGCCCCCTTTTGCCAAGTTTTCTCATGTATATTACCTGATTTCCCCACTGTAGTAATTTGATATTATGATCCCCACCATTTGGAGAATGCATAACACTAAAATCTAGAGAGACCCCATTGATAGCAAGTAAAATTCAAAGAAAGAACGTATAATTGATGTAAAATAAGTTTTCAGTTAAGTTTTTTGTTGTGAAACAAGATCTCAGAGGAATGGGGTATACGGGTATTGGTGGATGATTCCTTGTAAATTTCTTTGGTGGAGTCTGAATACTAATTTCTAACTGAAAAAGGAACAAAAGGCCCAGAATGAGAATGAGTTAGGTTTGGGTTTCAGATGTAGGATTCTGGAGGAGCCCCACTGACTCAGCAGTGGTGCAGAAATAAGTTCCTATGGTTGAAATTTGAGACAGCTCCCATGAAAGGAGAACTACACCAGAAAACTCTTGGCTTATGGAAGTGAAGAGTTCCTTAATGCTGATCTGATACTCAGGAACATTTGCTGTGAAGTCATGTGTTTAGGTTTGAAGTGCTACCTCTGCAACCAGGTTTATGGTTTCTTCCTGGTGCTGTCCCACCACCCCACAGTCCTGCAGTTCAAATAGTGCTGTGTGATAAATCGGTCTGCATAGTTATTGCTAAATAGACCAACCAGACACATTCTAGCTATGAAAGGAATATGGCTTATGAGAATCATTCATACCGGTTTAAATTTTTTTCTGAAAAGATATAATTTACAGAAAGAATTAAGGAAATATGTAAAACTCTTCTCTTGAGAAGAGACTTCTTTAAGGATGGTTACTAGTTAGACTCCCCAGTGGTCATAAGAAGAATGTTTTATCTCAGCATCATTTGGGAATCTGCATAAATTTTTAAGTGACTTTAATGAGGTGTAAATTACATACCATAAAAAGCATTTCAAGTGTACAATTCACTGAGTTTTAGTAAATTTGCTGAGTTGTGCAGCCATCACCATAATCCATTTTTTAGAACACCACCCCAATAAGATACCTCATGCCCATTTATGTTAATCCCTTTTCCATCTCTTATCCCAGGCACCCACTAATCTATCTATTTTCTGTTGCTATAGAGTTGCGTTTTCTGAACATTTTATGGAATCTTATGTGTCCCCTTTCATTAATGTGTTTTATGTTCATGTAGTACCATATCAGTGCCTTGTTCCTTTTTGTTTTAAATAATATTCCATTTTGTGGATACTTTGTCCGTTCACTAGTTGAAGGGCCTTTGGGTTGTTGTTTTTTTTTCAGTTTTTAGCTGTTGGGAATAATGCTGCTTTGAACATCAGTATACAAATATTTTTGAACATTAGTGTGCAGGTCTTTCTGTGGACATATGTTTTCATTTTTCCTAGGTAGATGCCTATGAGTGAAGTTGCTGGGTCATAAGGTAGATTTTTGTTTAAATTTTTTAGGAAATTGCCAAATCGTTTTCCAGAGTAACTGCATCATTTTACATTCCGATTAGCAATGTACGAGGGTTTCTATTTCTCTAAGTACCTTGTATATGGAATCATACAATATTTGTCCTTTTGTGTTTGGTTTATTTAACTTAGCATAATGTTTTCAAGGTTTATCCCTGTTGTAGCATGTGTCAGAATTTAATTCCTCTTAAAGGCTGAATAGTTCCATTGCATTTGTAGGCCACATTTTTTTTATTCTTTTATGTGCCAGTGGACATTTAGGTTGATTACACCATTTGGGCCATAGTAAATAACACTGCTATAAGCAGATAGGTGTTTGAGTTCCTGTTTTCAGTTCTTTTAGGGATATCCTTAGAAGTGGAATTCTGGATTATGTGAGGCTTCCATGTTTAACTTTTTAAGGAAGTGCAGCTTTACTGCTTTTAATTCCCACTAGCTGTGTACAAGGGTTTCAATTATTCACGTCCTTGCCAATGCTTATTATTTTTCTGTTTCTTTTTTATAATAGCCATCCTCATGGATTTGAAATGGTATCTTACTGTGGTTTTGCTTTGCATTTCCCTAGTAATTAATGATATTAAGCTTCTTTTTCTGTGCTTATTGACCATTTGTATATTTTCTTTGGGGAAACGTCTATTGAAGTTATTTGCCCATTTTAAAAAATCAGGGGTTTGTTTTGGTTTTTTTTTTTGGTGTTGATTTGTTGAAGTTCTTTATATAGTCTGAATATTAAACCTTTTATCAGGTATATGATTTGCAAATATTTTCTTCCATTCTGTGTGGGTTGCCTTTTTACTCTGTTCCAAGTGTCCATTGAAGACAGGTTTTAATTTTGGTGAAGTCCAGTTTATCTATTTTTTCTTTTGTTGCCTGTGCTCTTGGTGTCATATCCATCTTCATTCTTTTATTTGTGGATACAGTAGAGAGCTACTGAAGGTTCTTTGGGTGTATGTCAATAAAGACTTATTTTTGTTTTGCTATTGTTTTGTTTTCCCCTCAGAATAGTTTTTCAGATACGGAACTCAATCACTGGGGAGAAATATTTTAAGATTCTTGAAACACATTGTCAAAGTGCTTTCCATAAAGTATAACACATTTGGGGGTTTCTCCCTTTTTTGGAAGCATTGGGTGTCCATAAAGGTCTCAACTAAGGAAACATTTGTCAGGCCAGGGTACTTGTGAGATCCCTCTCCTGAATTAATCCTCTGGTGCTCAGTAAGTTGTGGTTTCTGAGCAAAATGTTTTCTGCCTTGAGAGCATAGGTGAGATTTCTCTCGAACTCTTTTCTTATGGAGTCTAATGATGAGAGGTTCTTCCAGGTTGGAGTTCTCAGATTTCTCTCTCTATAGATTGGTGGCAATAACCTGCAAGCTTTCCTCAATCTGTCTGTAGCTCTTCCAGGGGTGGTGGTGGGGTTCCCCACTGATGTTCTAAATGTTTATAGTCCTTTTGTAAAGTAGGCCTATGCAGAACATTGCCTTCTAAAGTAACAATGAATGATACATACTCCTTTGTTTTTTCTGCTTTGAAGAATCTTCATTTTCTTTTTTGATCTGTCAACAGGAATCAGAACATTCCTTTAGCTCTTTGAGCATCTTTAAGGCAGTTGTTTTAAAACCTGTCTCACAGGTCCAATGTCTGGGCTTCCTGATGTAGATTTTTTTTTTACTGATTTATCTTGTTCCTTTGACTGGTCCATACTTTCTTGTCTCTTTGTATGCACTGTGATAATTTTTGTTGAAAACTGGATATTTGAACTTTATAGTATGGCAGCTCTGGAAATCAGATCTCCTTTTTCTCCAGGGTTTACTGTTTGTTTGGTTGTCACAGTGCTGGGGATCAACCTGTGTTGAATGCTTAAAGTTTTCTCAGTTCTTTTCAAGGCCTATGTTTTTCCCTGGGCAGGGGCAATGGCTTTCTAAATTCTCCTATATATGCAGTTTTTTGAATGTCCAAAAAAACAGATGCTATCCCTTTAAATCCCCTAAAAGCCACTTTACCCAGTGGGAGTTGGGAAAATGGGAGCTTGCCTCTGTGTGGACTCATCTTCCATGATCAGAAGTAGGCATCTGCAATCAGAACTCTGATATTCAGAGGAAATGCTCTTTACTGGCCACCCTGGCTTTAGCAAGCTGAATCAGAAATAAGGGTTCTAACTCCACAGCTGCCTGTCATGGGACTACTTTGCCAAAGGCTGAAATCCACTAATGTTAACTGTAATTTACCAATCAAGATTTCTCCTAGAAGCTACAGGTGTTCAAACAGACTCTTATGTCTCTGAATAATCACTTTAGGAACTTTCTGCCACATGTCTAGGTAGGGAGGTGGATTCCTGGGTCACTCTCTCCATGTCTTTGATTTTTTTTATCCTACTTCCTGGAAGATTCCTTCAACTTTGTCTTCTAATTCTATTCAAAATCTTGAAGTGTTATTTCTGTTATATTTTTACTTCCAAGTGCATTTTCTGATTTAAATGTCTCTGGTTCCTTTTTTGTAATATTTTTTCCATGAGTGAAAAATGAGGATGTCATTTATAGTGTCTTTCAGTGTAATTCTGCTCAATGCATTATCACGGTTTCCCTTGAGTTGTTTTTGCCTGTTTTCTCTCTTTCACATTGGAGGCTTTCCTGAAACCTCTGGTGATCTTTGACTATTCATATTTAAGAGCTGGATATTAAGAACCTATAAAAGGCTGATTGGAAGGTGTTTTAGGTACTGTAGCACCATCCAGTAGAAATATGTGAGCCACTTATGTAATTCACACTTCTTAGTAGCCACTTTTAGAAAATAAAACAGGTAAAATTAAAAATGTATTTTTATTTCACCCCATATATCTCTGTTATTTCATCATGTAATTAATGAAAAAATTGAAAAATTTCCTATTATTTGTACTGTTTCTAAAACCTAGTGTATAATTTATAATTGCAGCATATCTTAATCCACACACTGAATTTTAATTTGCAATACTTTATTCATATTTAGATTTGTGAAATTTAGAGTTGAAAAGTAGATTCACATAGTTCTTCCAAACGTACTTTGTTGTTGTTCTAAATATACTTAATTTTCTTATAACTGAATCAAATATCAAGAAGTTTTTTTAATATTTGCATCCACATTGACAAAATTGATCATCTTTTTATTAGAAAAATTGATTTAATTTTGAGGCAGCTGGGCATGGTGGCCCACACCTGTACTCCCAGCATTTTGGGAGGTGAAGGTAAGAAGAGTGCCTGAGTCCAGGAGTTTGAGACCAGCCTGGGCAACTTGGCGAGACCTCATCTCTACAATAAATCAAAAGATTAGCTGGGCGTGGTGGCGCACGCCTGTAGTTCCAGCTACTTGGAAGGCTGAGGCAGAAGGATCACCTTAGCCCAGAAGGTTTAGGCTGCAGTGGCCTTGAGCATGCCACTGCACTTCAGCCTGGGTGGCAGAGTGTGACTCCTACTCAATATAATCATCATCATCATAATTTTGAGGCAAAAGTATATCACTTTAAAAATTTACCTAAGTCAGTAACTCTTTGTCAACTCAGTATTATTAGCATCAAATTTGAAGAGGCATTGCATAAATGGAAACACAATTAAATTTATCAATACCAAAAATCATTCTTCAGATTTTTCTTTCTTTTTTTTTTGCAGCCAGTATGCAGTGTTAATGATTATGTTTAAAGTTTTCTGCACATTGACTCATTTGAAAAATGTGTAAAGTCATTTTGTATTATTTTTATTTGAAGTGTTTCGATTGTAAATAAATTCTTTTACCTGTGTATTTAGGCCACAAGCTTTTCCCATTTTAGAAGGCTCAAATGTAGCTCATTCATATTCAGGATGATATTAGCGAGAAAACATGTATCACAGTGCCACTTTTTGTCTTTGATTATTGAATATTTGTCAAGCATTCCTTTTGTTTCAAGGAAATCTTGAATTGGATTTTCTAGTACAGGAAATCTTTATAGAACTCTTTTGTAAACCATCCAAGTAACATTGGTAAGAACACAAACTTATTAGATAACATTATCTTTTTTTTCAGTAGTTCCATAAACTGGCAATGATAATTCTATAGCATTTGTGCATATGTACTGAAGAATTATAACATCTGTATCGATGACTCTTTTTCTTGGAGTCAGCTTCAGAAAACTGAACACAAATATTTCCAATATGTGTCATACAATAGAGTAAAGCAATGAGGGAAAAGTTTGTCTCTTGCTTTAAAATTCCAATACATCTGGTCTTTTGACTTAATACAGGCAGAGTTCCATCCTCATGATAGAAACTGATTTTTCCATGTCTAGCTAAAATTCGTTCATGGATGGAAAATTGTCAAAACTCTCTGCCATGAGTTTGAGATTTTAAGCAATGAATTGGCATTGTTTGTAAATTTGGATGTTCTTTGAGACAGAATATACCCAAAGTTTTCCTTGGGCAGTGACTTACATCACACAATTTGTTTAAAACTAAAGAAAAATACTTGAAAATTTTCAAATTTTGAATCATTAAATCTTTGATATTATTAGAAACATATACTATAAGCACACTGTATTATGCTCATGTGTACTCTATGAGCAAAATTGTTTTAATTGTAAATTTCAATTTTTGTAAATGTCTTTTAAAGTCTTTTCCACATAATTTTCTAAATAGATTACAATAACTAAAATGATAATTTCTTTGTGTTATCTCTCCAACTAAGATTCTTCATTGTATGTATCTGTGCAAGAATCAAGCTATTTTATAGCTTGCCCAGTTTGCAAACTCAAACCCTGTTAAAAAGTTGTTTAAATTGTTTTTGTTAGCAGTTTATCTCATTTCATGTGACTAATTTTGTGGATTTTTTTACTTAACATCACGAAGTTATTGCTGAAAAAATATATGTCTTAAATATTATCTACTGTGTATCTTTAACTTTTGAATACAACAAATAGCTTTTTCATTTTGCTCTGCTGCAGTGAGTTGGAATTGCCATTCATCATTGAATGTGCACTATATTTCCTTCTGGTGTCTTTTTTTTCTTGACTGTCAATCGTAGTGCTAGCTTCTATATCTGCACTGAATTCTGCCTCAGTAATATGCCTTTGTTTAAAATTTAAATATTTTTCCATATTTTTTAATCTAGAAAATGATTAAAATATTAGGTATCAGTTTATGATTCTAATGCATAGTTATTACTGTAATTTGTGCTGTCTGCATAGGCATACTCGTGTTACCTGCATAAAATATCCAAGTAAACACATTGTAATATTACATCCTTGCATAGAAAAAAAATCATCTGAACTGAATCAGTCTGTTGATACTAATTGTGATGTGTTTATGTGTAACACTAGAAATAATGCACGTTCGTGTACAAGTGTTGCAGTACAACAATGTCCTATGCGATGCAGTGGCTAAAGTGAATTGTAGTTCTATCAAAACAATAAAATGTGTTTAATGGAAAAAATACTCAGTTCTGCTTCAGTTTTTTATATTTTGAAATGTGGCACTATCTGCAGTTCCATTTCTCAGTAATCTCAAGTGACTGCCATATTGGAGAGTACACAGTTGGAAGACTTATTTATTTGAGTTGGAGTCACCTAGGCTGGAGTGCAGTGGCACAGTCTTGGCTACTACAGCCTTGACATCCTGAGGTCAGGCGGTCCTTCTACCTCAGCCTCCCAAGTAGCTGGGAATACAGGCAAGCACCAATGCTCCTGGTTTTTTGGGTTTTTTTTCATTGTAGAGTTGGGGTCTCACCATGTTGCTCAGTCTGATCTTGAACTCCTGGGCTCCCAAAGTGCTGGGATTACAGTCATGAGCCACTGGGATCGGCCTGTACTGGTTTTTTCAGTCTGATAACTGAGATGGCTACTATGAAGAACAGGCAGGTACTGTAGACAGCATGGATACACTGAACAATGGGATGACTCATGTTCTGAGTGTGATAGAGCAGAATGATGAGAGATTTCATCAGGCTACTTGGTGCACAATACAAAATTTATGAATTGTTTATTTCTGTAATTTTCCATTTAATATTTTTGGACCAAGGTTGACCACAGGTAACTGAAACCACGAAAAGTGAGACTACTGTACTTTCCGTAAGGGAGATAGTCCAAAATCTAATCTGATCAGTGTTTCCAACTTAAGTCCAGGGTCTGAGTTAGAAGTACTGTCACCTAGTTTTTGTCTCTGGGACCCTAAAGGTCAGTGCCTGTTAAACTTTCTTGGAGTAGTGTAATTTTTCCAGAGGGATCTGTGGTTTCTCCAGAGAAGAATCTCCTAATTGGTATGGATATAAGCCTGGCTACCATTATGTGGTGGGATAGGAGATGGCATTCATCTCCTTTCATTCAGACTTCCACTTAATCTCCTGGGTTTTTTTTGTTTGGTAGAAATGGGAGTCTTGCTTTGTCGTCCAGACTAGTCTTGAACTCCAGGTTTCAAGTGATCCTCCTGCTTCAGCCTCCCAAAGTGCTGGGATTACAGACAGGTCTGAGCCAGAGCACCCAGCCTGTAGTCTGTTTTTAGTTTCATCTCATTTTTCTCATTTTTATTCTCCTCCAGGCCCAGGGTACCCAAGTCAATAG